TTTGGGGTGGGGGTGAACGTTTCAATCGCTATGCTTTCCCACCTATCCATGAATATATCTGCTACAACCGGGGATATTGGTGATCCCATGGCAACTCCCTCAGTTTGTTTGTATATTTTCCCTTGGAATTTAAATACTGTAGAAGTCAGGCAAAGCTGCACTCCCAGCATTATGTCCTCAAGTGGCACTTTTGTCCTAAGTTCGAGTTCTTGGTCAGAAATGAGTTCGTTTCTGACTGCCTCTATAGCCATATTTATTGGTATACGTGTATATAAACTGACAATGTCAAAACTAACCATTTTTTCTTCATTATCTAATTTTAAATTATCTAATCTGTGTTTTAGTTCATAAGAATTAGTTAGTCTAGATTTCGAGTGGATTTTTAGGGGATTTAATACCATGGCTAAATATTTAGATAATTCATAGGTAGGTGAATTTCTAAAATCAACTATAGGCCTAATAGGGTATCCTGACTTATGAACTTTAACAACACCATACATCCTACTGGGGTTATTAGTTTTTGGCATTAAATTAAACCACTTAGACTCACCTAGAAACGGCTTCATTCGGCGTATAAGGTCCTCTGTGGATTTCTTAACTTTATTCATAACTGTGTCTATTGATTTATTAATTTCCTCATATGGTCCTGTTTGTATGTGAGTATTTACCTTGTCCAAATAGTCCGATTTGTCTAATACTACTGTTGCGTTCCCTTTGTCTGACTTTGTGATTACTATATCCTTGTTATTCTTGAGGTGTTTTAGGGCTTCTGTCTCTTGTTTTGTCAGGTTAGGTTTTCCACATTTTTGTCGTTTTAATGTAAGTGCACATTGTGCACGTACTTCTTCAGCTGTTGTTTTGTCTATCCCACTTAGTGCTATTTCTATTTTAGGGATGACATCCTCAGGTTTTAGCTTGTCCACCGCTACATTGAAGTTTAGTCCCTTTTCTAATACACTTATTTCCATAGGTTTTGGCCTTTGTTGCCGTTGCTGTGAACTTGAAAGTGAGCACAGCGTGGTCACTTCTTCCTAACGAAGGAAGATGTTGTATGAGATCCACATCCTCACCGTGGGAGAACACTACGTCCAGAGTTGAGGAGGAGTGTTGTGAGTCATAGCACGTGGGCTTAATCATATGTTGGACTAGGGTTAGCGATACACTAGATTCCAGCAGTTTATGATCAAAGGAGTTGACTGAAGATGGAGTTGTTAGTCTCGACCAGTCAACTCTTGGGGCGTTGAAGTCGCCAACTACGAGACTTCGACATTTCGAAGTCCAGGAGCCTAACTTCTCTATTAGGAAGTCATCTGCACTGCAGTCAGGACTGCGGTACATAGCAATGAGGTCAATGTCTTGGCCTATACATTTAAGTCTGCAGCGTAGAAGTTCGTACGACTGACTTTCGTGGGCGAGTGCTTCGATACTACGCACGGTTAAGCATTTCTTGAGGTAGATGACTGCGCCACCTCCTTTGCGGTTTAGTCAGTCCGCCCTATGCACTTCGAAGTTTGGCAGGTTAACTTCGTTGTCAGTGACATCGGGTGTGAGCCATGTCTCTGTGATAATAATTACATCCGGGTTTCCGGAGTCTATCATGTTAATCAGCTGAGTCCGTTTATTTAACAGGCTGCGGGCGTTTGTGTAGCAGATTGTTAATTCAGATTGGTGCTTCCCCGGCCTACCCACGGAGGCTTCGAGATCATTAGACTGCGAACTCGGAAAACCCAAAAACCCTTAATCTTAAGGTTCTTCTCGCCGTCCCGGCGTCGCTCGCTTAATTCTAGTGCCGCAGCCTGTCTTTTGACACGGTCGGCTAGGCCTAAGTCGGCGCAGACAAATATCCCTGATCCTTTAAGAGTTTGGGAGTTGCTTAGAATAGCATCACTCTCTTCTTTCGAGTTTAGTACGACTTTGAGAAGACGTACAGGCTGACCTACTGTAGGGTCAGGCTTTTGGCCTATTCTATATACGCTGTGTATAGTAATGCCTGATACTGTGTGTGGCAGTAGCTTGTCTAAAAGGTGCTTGACCAAGTTAAGGTCATGCATCCACACACACATACAAAATAATGCATATATATTCGCGATTGTACAGATAAGAAAATGAATTCTCCGCCGAAAAGAGACTCTTAGCTTATCTACGGGTTTTGTTTTCACTAAATTATCAAAATTTCAGTGGAATTGGTATAATCAACGTATATTTAATTTACGATGTTTAAAAACGATATCATTTTGAAATCACTAGTGATTAGGGTTCCAGAAAATTCTCATCGATCTATGAAAGCATCTCGCGCGTTCCTTCCAGAAAGGATACATAAATGCACATTAGCAATGCAGCATTATCAGTATCGAATCAATAATATTGAGGATTTTCTATAGTTGGTTTGTAAGGATTAGTTATGTTTTAACGAGTTGATGTCAGTTGGAAAACTACTCAAAACCAGGGAATACTGGACGGTCAGCTGTTTCATCCTGGTGCTTGTGAATCCTTGGCACTACGCACCCCATAGGGTTCGAATTCAGGACCCTCCGGTTACAAGGCACGCTCATATACCATTCAGCCACTGGGACCCGATTCAGTGGCCAGTGTATGAATTTTAACTTCTACCAATTCGTGATTTAGCGTGACCCCAAATAATGGCGTCACTTTATTCCAAGTAATAATCTTTATCATACAGAGTGGAATTTTCAGCTTTAGGTAATCAAATGGAAGAGAGAATAAATACATGTAGTTAGCTGGAGTTCTAGTGAGAAGTCGTGACCAGTGAGGTCCATCTACAGGTCATGTGTAAGGATGGATGTCCCACCAACGACATTGGTTGGAATCGTGCTAAATCATGAGTCGGTAGAAATTAGAATTCATGAGCCATTAAATCGGGTCCCAGTGACTGAACAGTATACGAGCTAGCTTGCCTTGTAACCGGAAAGTCCTGGATTTGAACCCTGGTGGTGGGTGCATACAGACAATGATTCTCAAGCTCCAGGATGAAACAACTGGCTGTCCAGTACTCACTGGTTTTCGGTGGTTCTCTAACTGATATCAGTCCGTGATCAACTCGTTCAAATAGTGATGATTGTCTTAATATTCTTATACCCAAAGATCATCTAACTACCACTACGGAACTATTCGAAAATCAAAAGTCCGCTCATTGCAATGCTACTAAGCAAAGACTTAATCGAAAATCTGAAAAACTTATGAATCCGAACGCAGCATACTCCAGAGCAAATAAGTCAGGTGTACAGACAAACATAAGAACAGTATACAACTTATCAGATGAAGAACTTAATGTACATGAAATGACATTACCTGAGAACGGACTAAACTTTAACATGACTAGAAAACCAGTGAAAGCGATAGAAATAACCACCATCATGGAGCCAATATATATTACTCTCTTACCTGATAATGAAGCTAATGAATTGCGTCAGATGGTTGGATGTATCTAGTCAAATGAAAAGTAGGTCATCCTATATTTGTCGAAAAACGAACACCATGCATTACAAACATTAGGATTTTAATTTTTAACTTTGATTATAACTTGAAACTATACAGTATTTTTCGTACATGTATGGAATTTTCAGTATATGATATCGGGAGCCCAAATTTCGCGGGTCATCCATTGATATTGGGTGTGCGTTGAACGGGGATCGAACTCCGGACCATTTGCATGATCGGCGAGCGTCCTAACCACTGTGCCACCGACGAAGAGATCAGATAAATCCATTACAGTAACTAAAGCTGACAAAGGCAATATCACTGTGATTCTTAATTAAGATGACTATAGCAAGCGAAAACCGACAGACTGGTCGAAGAAGCAGTCGGCAAAGACAGGACTCCAGGTGAACATGGACAAGACGAGGTTATGAAAATAACTAACCAATCAACCAACAACAACAATAGCACAGCAACATCCAGCGCCAATCACCATCAACGGGAGGGATTTGAAAGAGGTTACTTCATTCGCTTGTCTTCGGAACATTGTCTCAACTACAGGCAGTCGGAGCGGATGAGGATGTCAAATCAGGGGAGAATCGGGAAGGCGAGAAACACACACATTCATCAACCTGAAACCAATCTGGAAATCTTCGTCACTCAGCCAGCATCAACAACAAAATTCAGTCGGATTTTCAATACAAACATGTCAAGTCAGTCAGTTCTTCTATAAGGATCAGAAACTTGGCGGGCGAGTCACAAAGAATATTTCTAACAGGCTATTGCAGACCTTTATCAACAACTAACTGTCTTCGCTCTATACTGAAGACGAGATAGCCGGGCCGGAAAGAATCACCAACAAGAAACTATGGGCACTAACAAACAAGGCAAGAACCAATTGCCAACCAACAAATATGCAGGAGAAAGTGGATTGAGATGGATTGGACACTCCCTGAGGAGGCCACTGGGTGACATCTCGCGCTCGTCAGGCCATTGCTTGAGTGGGACGTCAGTGCAGGAGTGACATGGAGGAGATCATGTGAAGAGGAGTTGAAACGGTATGAACTAACATGTATGTATGTGAAAGGTATAGCAGAAGACTAAAGCAAGCGGGGACGTGCAGTTGAAGGCCTATGTTCCACTAGAAACCCAAGGGAACAATAATAATAATGATAAGAAAGCTCTACAACATATCGAAGCAGGTCCATACGCACTAGTACCAATAAACAAAATGTCTAGTACTATGAACGGAGTAAAAGCGTAAGTATGTAATCGATTTGGAGAACTGAAATCAATGTGTGTAAAAAAATTTTGACTAAATATTGTGGTGATTAATAAAAATCCCAACAATTCTGTTGAAGAAGCTGTGGCTTACTCAGCGGAAAATTTCCGAAAAATTTTGTTTTTTTATTCTTTCTTAAACACATTGAGATTATTTAAAAAAATTTATAATGATACTGTTGTTCTTGCTTTATTCAACTCATATTTAAAAATATTAAATATATACTGGTCCAAGATAAAAGTTAACTTTTGGTTGAAAATTCTTTCAATTATGTGTTAGTCAACTAAATATTTTGATAATTTCCATAATATCGTTTAGTAAACTGTTCGGCTGTTTTGCATTGACTGGCTTCCTTCACACACTTTACTCCACAGCATAGCATACGTATTGGAACCATTGAATAGGTGAATATATCCACACAATGAATGCAGACAGTGTTAATATCATCGTAACGGTCCAAACCACACCAACAGCATGAACCAACACTTGAAATATTGAAAAGACAACATAAATGAGAGTGATTTGGTTAGTGTATGCATAATTATTGTGTGGGTGAAAGCTTCTAAATTATATTTGACATTAGCTGTTGGTTTCATGATTTCATCATGAACTGACATCTGTTAGAGAACCTGCAGGCAGTGCTGCATAGCTAGCTGTTTCGTCCCATTTTGGGACTCTTCGTCAGTTCGCATCCACTGAGGTTGAAACCCAGAACCTTTTGGTTGCAAGACGAGTTCATAGACCATTAAGCCACTGGGACCTGCCAGATCCAATGGCCACCCCGTGAATTCCAACTTCTGCCAATTCATAATATGGTCGATAACATACGCTAGTGGTCACAACATATCGTGAATTCGTGGAAGTTGGAATTCATGGGCCTCTGAATCGGATCCCAGTGGCTGTATGATCTATGAGCTCGCCTTGCAACCAGAATGTCCCGAGTACGAACACTCATGGTGTGCACTTCTGGAGGTTTTCAAGGCAGGACAAAATAGCCTTCCAGTACTCCCTGGCTGGTTTTCCAGTGGTCCTCTAACTGATATCAACTCATGATGAAATCCTGAAAATCACTATTTTTACACTATTGAAAAGCTGCATAAAACAATATACTACTAACTGAATGAGATGAGTAGTTGTGCACCACACATATCAACCACTAGTGCTTCCTAACCAGCCATATCTTCCAAGTGATCTAAACACCACTTGACGGGTGTTTTCCTCGTTTGAGACCGAGCTCATCAGTGATGTGCCCTGCTCGGCTCAGTTCAGGCGGCCAAATCAGTTCAAAACCACCACATGCTCGGCGATAAACGAGGGAATCGACTATGAATCGGTGTCTATATCACTTCGATGATCTGGCTGGATGGCTAACAAGCACCACTGCTTCATGTGAGTGGTATACGACTACTCATATCTATCAGTTATTCAGTAGTATGCAGTTTCACGCCTTCATGCCTAGTTGCTTCATTACCGCTTATGGTATCAAGCTGAATAACTTTGGTTTCCAAAAAAACTCTGATGAAATTTCACACTGAGCTGTGTAAATTGCTAATTAATTTGCAGATAACGAATTTAACGAATGACTAAGTATATAGTGGTCCTGTCCATCCTAAGCACAATTCTAAGCTGCGTCATCCCCTAGGGAATCAAACAAGCCATGGATAGAAAACAGGCTGGAGTCAGGAGAAACAAGTCATGCATCGATCAAAGAGCGACACTACGGATCATCACTGAACAAAGCTTGGAATCGCAGTCACATCTCTACCTCACTAAACTTCATTGACTTTGAAAAGGCCTTCGATAGTGCAGCGTCGATCGAAAGGTGATTTGGAAACTAATTCGCCACTATGTGGGTCCGCCATCAATTATGCATCTCATCCAACAGTTGTACGACAATGCTGCATGCCAAGTAATCCACGACGGTAAACTCACGGGATTCTTCGAAATGAAGATGGGAGTAAGACAAGGCTGGCTGGCTGCCTACTAGCTCCAACAATCAATTTCCTGATTGAGGCAGACTCGATAATACAACAGACACACAGAGAACAATGAGGAGACAGGCATCAAAATGGACCCACCCAAAAGCAGCTTAAAGGATCTGGACTTCACCGATGATATATGTCTGATTTCCCACAAACTGGAAGATATGCAAGTGAAAAGCAACAAGTTCGCACAAAAAGCACCAAAGATAGGACTTCCTTCATGTGAACATAGCGAAAACAGAGGTGATGAAGATTTTTGGCCAACAGCAACAACAACAACAGAAAACAACCGGCATAAATGGGAGAAATCTGAAAGAAACAACCTCCTTTACCTACCTCTCTGGGAAGCATCGTTTCAACTGAGGGCGCAAATGATGAGGATGTCATGGAGAGGATCGGGAAATCAAGGCAAGTTTTCATTTTTCTCAGGTCTTTGTGGAGATCTACAGCACTCTTCGACATGAAAAATAAGATCCGAATTTTTAACTCCAATGTGAAGTCAGTGCTACTGTAGTACACCTATACCAACTGTAAACATGCTTTTTAATCTAATTTGTATACTTGTATTATATGTGTAAACAGACCGATTTTATATGTACTTCGCAAACATTTGTCATTTTACGGTTGAATATGACCTTGACACAATTTCAAATTTGACTACTGATACACTACACATTCGTAATCTTCGCAAATGCCTTTTGATTTACGTTGTGGGCATCGAGTAGCCACAACGTCTGCGCACATGAATAAGAACGAAGAAATACTAGAATATATGTGTACGGCAGTTTAGTCAGACAACGCACGCAACACTACTATACGAACCACAGACTCGCCACGCACACCGAACAAACTACAGAACTTCATCAACAGCTGTCTTCGCTCAGTACTCAAGAACAGATGGCCGGCCAGAAAAGATGAGCAACAGGGATCTCAGGGAGCAAACTAAGCCAACATGAGCCAATTGTGCAACAAATAAGGAGGAAGAAATGGTGGTGGGTTGGCCATAGTCTGAGAAAACAAACCATCAAGTGACATCACATGCCAGTCCATTGCTCGAGTGGAAGCCGAATGGGGAGTGGCGAGTCGGTCATCACTGCGAGGGTGGGTTGTCATGGAGAAGGTCATGTGAAGGGGAGATGAAAAAATGTGGGCAGATGTGGCGCCAGGGGAGAACGTTGGCAGAGAACCTAACGCAATGGAGACGTGCATCTAAAGCCTTATTTTCCTCTAGGAACTAAAGGAAACAAATAATAGTGGGTAGATTTTCTCTCTAGTCAGTTGGTTGAAGTTCCTGTCTTCACTTTATTACAATGTCACCGGCTGCAAGCTACAGATTTTCATCAACGACTGCCACTGTTCCATACTGAAGATCAAATGGTCTGTCACAGATAATAAGCAATAGAGCTCTAACAGTATAGCAAATTCACCGCTCAGTAAAACATGCAAAATAAAATTGGAGATGCATTGGATATACACTGTAGAAACGTTCTTTGACCTCACGATCCAGGTAAGCTCTCAAGTGGAACCCATATTGACTGACTTTTGGTGGTATTTCTGAATGAGTTTTAGGTGATGGTCGACCCGAAATTCCTCTAAAGTCATCAGCCAAAAATTATCTAGATATACTGTCTATATACATGAAATTACTATTTACAGCTGTCTACAAAATCTTAATAACGTAATTCCCCGCATAGTGCTCATAAAAACAAAACCATAACCTTCAAAGATTTCTATTTTTGGCATTTCTTATCTGTTTTGAGTACCATTCACGTAATAATTGCGTTTTAAATGTATCCTGCTTGTTTCATTTACAAATTTGTAATTTGTTTCCGGTTAAGAACAACATGACACGATAAATAAAAAAAATATTAAATTCATTTAACTTTACCAAACATGTTTTTCTGCGTAATTTTCTACACACAAAAATAAGTAAACTAAAATACACGCATTCATTTGTTGTTTAAATCATTCTTTTATATTCCCAGTTGATTCAGTTCTTCAATCTCTGTAACAATGCCGGTTTCTGGTACAGAAGCCTTGACTACTTTTGAAGGTCACCATGATGATATTCAGTTCCTGCTGGCTGCTAGCAAGAAAACTGAAGACTTTGGTTTTCGATGTGGTTATGTTCTCTGAGCTGGATAGTTAATTTATGAAGCTTTCATCATCCTACTAGGCGACACCCTCAGCGCATACCTCAATCCATTGAAGGGAGCTTTCAGATTTCTCCACGAGTTTATTAATCATCTCCCCTGGTGACCTTGGACGTGATTGGTTGTTTTTGTGTGTTTTCACACCTTCTAGGTTACTTGTATTGTATTGATTGTTTCCTTGACTTGAATCCTGACCCTTTGTGTATGAGATTTCTTTCTCGTCGAGTGGTAAATTTTGTCGATCTCGATGTGTCTATTGATTGATGATTTACTGGAATGTCAAGCTTCTAAAAATTCTCTAGAATTCTTGTTGTTTCCTCTGTCTAATATTTCAACGTTGGTTGTCCCAGTCGAATTGATGTCCATGGTTGTCTGTATGTAGTCATATGAGCCAGCGATATGAGGGAGTGGATCTCATCATGTCCTTTGACGGCTAGCTTATGCTCGTGGATACGGAGACGGGGAAGACTTCCACTTTAGTCAATGTAGTGTTTTTCGCAGTTGTTACAATTTACTTTGTAGATGATGTTGGTTTTATCTTCTTTCGTTGTTGAGTCTTTTAATTGACATAGAACCAGCGGAGTGAAGTGATTTTGTTGGTTTGTGTGAGACGTAAATTCCTAAAGGTTCGAAAAGTCTTGTAGTGCTTTCTGAGATATCCTTTATATATAGTAGGGCAGCTGATTGTCTTTGTGCTTTCCTTGGGAGCTTTTGATTTGACAGGTTGGCTTGGAGGTATATGTCTTTTGATGAAATTCCGTAGATATCGATCCATTCTTTTTGAAGACTTCCATGAGATATCTTTCTTCAATTTTCCTTAGGGTGGGAGTGCTGCAACGAATCCTGGTTGGCCCTCTTGAATAGTGATCGTAAGCAATTCCTTTTGTGTGTTATTGGATTGTTGCTGTTGTAATTCAACGAGTATTTAGTCTGTGTGAGTTGATTTTCTATAAACTTGAGTTTCTTATTCCCCTGTGGTTGTTCGCTTGACTAAGACGTCCAAAAATGGTATTTTGTTCTCGGATTCCTCTTCTCTTGTGAATTTGATGTCGTTGAAGATGTTGTTTATCAAGTTGTGAGCTTTATCTAACTCGTTTCTTTTGATTATCACAAATGTGTCGTCGACTCAGCGTATCCAAATCTTGGGTTTGATCTTTGGTAGAATTATGTTTTCGAGCCTTTGCAATACTGCTTCTGCAATCAAATCTGATATTTGTGATCCTTTGGGTTTTGTCCTGTTTGTGACTCATCAACTTGACGTGCCTGCCTACCCACTGACTAATGATACTTTCAATCAGAAGTGCACCCAGCACACATCTTTTTAAACAGCGAATCGTTATCCACTAGGCC